GACTTTCCCACTCTCAAATCCTGCATTGAAGTTGTCCTACATACATGATTCTTGCCTTTTCTGTTGTGCCAAGCCACACCTTTCCTCCTCTTCAGGCTACAATTTCGAGAAATGTTCACAATTTAATTCCACCGACCAGTATAATCCTAGGCCTTTTAATGTAATCTATATTTTTTATGTTGCCTATTTATTGTCCCATCTTCCCAATCAATGGTAAACTCTTTAGCAGAAACCATGTGTTAGGAGTCTTTAACTAAGTAACTTATTTAGACCAAGGAAACTGGCTGCACCCCATCTCTTACCCTCTGGATCCGTGAAGGGAACTACAGATCTGCAAGGCTCTCTTACAGAGATAGGGCGACTCACTCATGCAGTCTGACCACACTTTCCTAAAAACTAAAATTCAGCCTGGTTCCTCCAGGCCATACTTGATCCCATGCCCCTCCCTAGTGATGCCAAATAGGCAGCAAGCCCATTTAACTCAAGAGTTCAAAAGAGAATGTCCTTTCTGCAGGTAAGAGCTAAGGCAGCTATAGCTTTCTTTATGAGACAGCTGCAGTCTAGCCAAACAGGTTAAGCAGTACCTGACTGAAACAGGTAGCCAACGAACCAAGAAGAGCAACAGACCCATCTCTCACCTTCCCTGAAAAAAAGCTTAAAACTTCTGAGTGCAATACAAATACGGTTGCTATTTTCTTAATTTATCTAATTTATGCTACACATAAGAATAAATGATAGGGAAATTAAATTCACAGCAATTCTTAGTGAGAAGAGAAGGCAGAAAAACAAAATTAATTTTTGCAGTGAAAGCGTTTAGAGATATTTTGAGGACTTGGTGAGTAATATCTTTAATCAGAGAACTAGGAATTCTAACTACTTCCCTATAAGGTTACATCACCTAAGTTTCAGTTCCAGCTGAGCTGATGTAATGTGGGAAGAACAGTTTGAAAATAAATTTTAATTCGAAGCTGAGCAAATCCAGGATCACTGCAAATCCAACACTTTCACAGCACTGATCCATCACCGGAAGTCAAGTTGCTTGTCAAGATTAACCAGGGCTCCCCAAAAAGAAGATACTCAATTTGTGTATGTCTCACCCTTCTCAAGACTAAGTTTGGGAAAGATGTAAACTACCAATTCTTTATCAGGAGTTTACTAAATTTATTCAAGAAATTTTTATTTTTAGGTAAAAAACAATAAAATTAAGAATGAGGAACATCTTCAGAAGTCATACATCTCCCTAACCTTCTCTATTATTCCATTCAGATTAAATTCAATCTCTCCTCAGTTTGCCTCTTGCATTAGCACTTAAGGAGCCAGCTCCCCTTAAATACAACAGGCCATATTAATTCTCCCCTTCTCTGAATTCCTCTGACAGTCCCAGTTTAAAGCACATAATCTGCTATTTTAAGATTGATCTCTAATTGTTCTGCATACACAAATTACATCTAAGCTCCGGAGCGGGGATCATAATTTATATTCTTTTGAATCCCTCACAGTTTAGTACACAGAAAAGGCTCATAAATATTTCTACTGTAATTTAACTGCCTATCTTAACAGAGGTTCCATTAGAAAATGGAATGGCACCTCCTCCACTATTGCTGTTTTAATCAGTGGGCAACATTAACGACTATTCATCTATTCAATAAATGTTGAATAATGAGGACACAAAAATAATTCCTTTAATGTTCAACCTAAGTCCTTCTACCAACACTGATGTCCATTTAGAGTAGCAGAGATAAGCAATGACCCTTCCCATAAAAGCTATTCATTCTCTCACATTTAGTATATGTACCTGAAACAACTTTAATTAACCCTTGATCAGGTAACAAATGTTTTTTAATGTATTTTTCCTGTCACCCCACCCAAGAGGTAACCTCTCTGAATAGAGGGGTGTTCTCCTGGCATGCTTCCTAGCACACCACACAGGTGTTCTGCACATGGCGGACACTTACATTTGTTTGAATCTAAAATTTCCAGAATATAAAATCTCATGGCGTCTTAGTCATCTAGTGCTGCTGTAACAGAAATACCATAAGTGGGTGCCTTTAACAAACAGAAATTTATTCTCTTAGTCTAGGAGGCTAAAAGTCCGAATTCAGGGTACCAGTTCCAGGGGAAGGCTTTCTCTCTGTTGGCTCTGGGGGAAGGTCCTTGTCATCAATCTTCCCCTGGGTCTAGGAGCTTCTCAGTGCAGGGACCCCTGCTCCAAAGGATGGGCTCTGCTCCTGGTTCTTCTTGCTTGGTGGTAATGAGGTCCCTATCTCTCTGCTGGCTTCTCTCTCCTTCTATCTCTTGTAAGATAAAAGGTGATGCAGGCTACACCTCATGGAAACTCCCCTTACATCAGATCAGGGCTGTGACCTGAGTAAGGCTGTTGCATCCCACCCTAATCCTTTTCAACATAACCTAATCTTGCCTTGATAAGATCATTTAAAAAAAAAAAACAAAAACCATTGCCATCTAGTCGACTCTGACTCATAGCGACCCTGTAGGACAGAGTACAACCACCTCACAGGGTTTCCAAGGAAAGGCTGGTGGATTTGAACTGCCAACCTTTTGGTTAGCAGCCAAACGCTTAACCACTACGCCACCAAGGCTTCCCATAACATCATGGAGGTTAGGATTTACAACACGTAGGATAATCACATCAGATCACAACATAGTGGACAAAGACACAATATTGGGAAGCATGGCCTAGCCAAGTTGACACATATTTTGGGGGGACACTATTCAATCCATGACACATGGTATTTTTTTTCTTAAAACGACCCTTTTGCAGTAAGAAGTCCAAACACCTCTCCCACTCATAGGTAAGTAAAGGAAAAGCCCAAAAAGTGGTTTAAAAGTTTTGTATTGTCATACAAACCGTCTTCATATACAAGTGCATAAGTGAAAACCTTTTCTCCCTCCATCCCCCCAACATCACAGTAGAGCAAT